TACAAGCCTCTTTCTATTATATTTTTTTGTTTTATCGTTTACGAGCTTTTCTCTAACTTTTTGGCGATACGAGAATCCCTCGTAAAACATAATGTTCGTAAAATGTACGTTTTCTTGCTGGCTGGGCTTATTAAAAATCTTGTCAAAGTGTGAGTGGGGTAAAGTTGTGATAAGCACTATATATCTGAAATATTAAAAAAAAAAATAATAGTGCGTTCATCTCATGCTAGGCGTTTGGTGAAGCTTTTGTAAACATCCTTGTGTGATAAAAGCCTATTTATATGGAATCCTATTTGTATAAATAACGTTTCAATATATAATATATAACAAAACGTGAGTGTGCGTGATTTACAACACCATCAACGTGAGCGTGCATGAACGTGAGTCAAAATCCCTCACGCGCCCACCTCTACTACAAACAGCGCTTATGATACATTTCGAAACAACTTTAGCTCCTTTATCTATACCTTTACCGATGATATTATGGCCCAAAAACTGACAGATAGCCGAATTAGCAGCGAATGTACACGACTAAAGACCTATCCTGATCGAAATCAATCGATAAACCTCTTTTTAATCCCATTTGAAAATGTGTTTTCACTTATTTGACGACAAAAATCACTGAATTTGACATAAGATAAGCATAGATAACACGGTGCTACAAAAAAATCACGAAATACATCCGAAGAAACATTAAATTTATTTGTGTGTTTGTACCAGACTGTCAGATTTTTCAAGCAGTATGGCTAAGGAATTCATCAATATTTATTCAAAATTTTTATATACAAAGACTCTTGCAAAAAATTAGTTTTTCAAAAAAGTTTAGGAAAAATGGACGTGGTACCGCGCACTTATATATGCGTATCCCACATCGCTTGTGTGGGGGAGGCGTACCTGCTCAATTCACGCGGAGTCCTGGTGCTCCGCCGGCGCTGATACCGGCCAACGCCCAGCTTGTTGGGGCAGTGCTGCTGCCTGCTTCACGCGGAGCCTTGGTGCTCCGCCGGCGCTGATTGCCCTGTACGCTGCTACGTGCCGCTGTGATACAGCGTCCCCGTTTGTGGGGTACTTTGCTGTACGCGTTTGTACGAAACTTTAGTGCTCCGGAGCCGCTCCTTGGTCTACCCGAATATGTGGGTGTACTTCAGCCGCAGTATGG